GCTCATTTTTTGCTGCATTTCCCACCCCCCCACCCCTGCTTTCTTTCCTCGTTGTCCCTCTTCTCCTTCATCACCTCACTGACAAATTTCTTAATCATTGCTGAAAGTGAGTAGCAACAGCTTTGCACGTCATTACTCTGAAGATGCCCACAAAAGTAGGACAGCTGATAGTTCCTTCCTATGTCTGCCAGTATCAGAAAAGATGTGGCGCTACTAAACGTGGTACAACAGCCATACACAGACACAATGATCCACCCTACTTCACACATCCAGAACATTATGGAAGCAGAACACCATCTCAGAAGACAGTGATGAAACAGAAGTCATCAACACACTCTACACAAGTGCACATGAATATAAGCAGGGTTTGCATTGCCAATGCAAAGAACTTCAATAAGTCTTGAGTGTCCTGAAGGGAGATAGGATATAGGTAGTAATCTCCACAGGAGACAAAATCTTTAAAGCAGAGGTTCCCAAACTTTTTCTTATTGCATACCCCCTCTAGATTTACCAGCTGTGTGTGTACCTCTACCAGCATGTTTTATATTTTAACCCCTTAAATGCCAACTATTATTATAATGAAAATTAAATATGCCATTACACAACTTCTCCTGAATACCCCCCAGAGATGCCTTGCGTACCTCCAGGGAGTATGCATACCACAGTTTGAGAACCCCTGCTTTAAGGGCTTGGAAAGAAAATAAACAAAAAAACCCCAAACACTTTTGAAGAAACAGGAGGAGGGTTAAAAGGAGGTAAACTCAAGTTGTCAGGCTTGCACGATGTTGCAAGTAATTCTAGACTGTAACAAGTTTGAAAAACCAACCAGGATATTCAACCCTGAGCAAGCCAAAGATGAAGATAACTAGATCAGTGAAGTCATTTTTTAAATAGAAACATAATGATAAGCATGAGGTACAAAGCCAGCATTCATGATTAGACATGGCTGGGAGAAACATTTGAAGAATAGTGTGGAGGTGCAGTCCTAAAGGTGCTACGTAGCCACTAAGAATGAGAGAACACGAGAAAAAACTAGAATAAGGGGTCTTCCCAGAGAAGGACTAAATACTTCTGCCAGTGTTATTTTAGAAAGAAATGAGAAGTTTAGAGTAAACAGCCAGAGGACAGGGATGTATGCATAGTTTTTATACTATTTTGTTTCCTCTAACCCACACATTTCTACTTCGTAAGTGCCTCTTATTGTTATATAAGCAGTGTAGGACTGTGCGAAATGGTTGTGTTTCGATTCAGTTTCAGATTTGGCCATTTTGGGGGACAGTGATTCATTTAGGTGTTTCGGATCACTGTCCTGTTTTGGCCGAATCTGTTTTGAATGGGCTGCAAGGGAAGCTTCATACAGCCCTACTCAGCCAGACGGGGCTTGGGACCAGGAGCTGCAGAGCCCCAGTGGGGAGCAGGATGGGGCCGTGGGTGACTCATCTGGGGGAGGGCCTCTGCCCTCCCTGCAGGCGAAGAGACCCCCATGCAGATCTCTGATTCCTGTCACGCCAGGTCGCAGGGCAGGGAAGCGGTGCAGAGCAGCGAGCAAGCCTGGTGGTCCCTGCTGTGCGATCTGGCTCCACAGGGAGCAGTGATTCAGCGCTGCAGGTGGCGAAGAGGAGACCGCAGCGTGGATCTCTGCTTCCTGCGGAGCCAAGTCAGAAAATGCCAGCTCTTAGGTCTCACTCTTTTTGACTACAGAAAACTACAGTTTTTATTTGAATCTAAGACAAGGTTTCCGCCCCCCAATCAGGAAGACCCTTGATCTTAGATTTGTGTATGAAGTGCATGGGGGGGGGGAAGGAAGGGGTTAGGTGGTTGCTGCAGCTTGGACTCTGGCCTTGAGCCTGGGTTTGGCTCAGGGCCAGCAGCCACAGCAGCCTCCTGCCCCTCCCCCCACCATTTGCCCTCTGTAGCTTCTGTTCTCCCTTTGGCCCTACCTCCCCATTCCCTGTCAGGTGAAGCTTGGCTCCAGCCTGGGCAGATTCCCTCCCAAGCGTGGAGTACAGGCAACCTCCACCCCCTGCCTGGCCAATCAGCAGCAGTGCCTTCATCTCCACCCTTCAGCTCATAAGAAAGTCTCCCAAATGACAGTCCTAAAACTCAATCGTGGTTAAAAGGACTTGTCTACACAGAAACTGGACTGGTTTAACTCATCAACGTAATTTATTTCTTTTTCACCTGCAATAAATTCTGCAGACCAAAATAATTCCCTTTGGAACATGTCCACTGTCCCATTGCCTTCATTTAAAAAACTTGGCTCTGTAATCAATACTGTTAACTAAAGAGATGCAAGCCAGATATTAAACCAGAATAAAGATTGTCTTCATACAATTTTGAACTAGTTAATCTAAAACATTACAATCATATCTATGGTAAAACAAATACTACTTTGACTACAGGTCTTGCTCATGATTACTTAATACATAGCTATGTTGATACACAAGAAATATATTTCCAGTTCACATTATTTGATGTGCCAGCTCTTAACATTGAATAGAATAAAAAGCAGTGAAACCTTTGTGTCATTAAAACAAATAGGTATGATTCAGTTCATAAAAGAAACAGATCAATTCAGTCCCTTTTAATAGAAGAACTGCACTTTAAACGTATTATGGAAGCCTGCAGCCTCAACCTTATATTCATTTTCCTTTTCCAAACTATAATGGAAAAATTATTCCCTATCTTTAGTGAAAAGATCTGTATGTCTTATGTGCAAGACCTCATTTGATTCAATAGGAATCTGAGCACAAAATAGGTCAGATATGTAGCATAGAATGAACAGAAGATTTTTTTGTCCTT